AGAGAGAGAGAGAGAGAGAGAAGGGAAAAGAAAAAAAAATGAAAAGAGGGAAATTTTGGGGTTGGTGTATAATTAAATTATTGGACCCATTAATTGAATACAAAGTTTGGAAAGTAACAAATTCGTAAATTTGATAATACTTATCTACAGAATTACACGTTTGATAAAAGATTTTAAGAAACGCAATTTTAAAAATAAGTATGATCCAAGATATATGTGTAAATTTCCCGACACTCTATCCAGCTAACTCCACTGGATAATACAAGAGAAAATTACTCCCTTTACTGTTGTAATTGTACTTATTTTTAAATATACGAATAAGAAACTTTATTTTTAATAATACCAGTCATCCTCTTAATTCGGGTAACAGATAGGATATTAAATGAAAAAAAAAAAATCTCTCTCTTCTTCATTGCTTCTTTCCTCCTTACTTCTCTCTTTTATTTTTAATAGTCTCTCTCTTCCATCATTGCTTCTTTCCTCCTTAATTCTCTCCATCTCCCCCATCTCACTCGTTTATATCTTCTCTTCTTTACCTCTCATCCATTTTTTTTATTCTGTTCATAATTCTCTCAACTCCTTTATTTCTCTCAGTCTCTCCCTTATTATTCTTATTATTTCTCTCTTTATGTTACAGTTGAGATTGCTACAATGCTTAAAGAGAACGCTTGAGGCTAATCGGGTGTAGTTCTTCAATGGCGAATAAAATTCCACCTCATGTTAATCTGAACGATGGTGATGGTGAAGCGAGGTTAAATTGTTTTTGCTTGATGGGATCGGGTGCAGTTTTTTTTAGATTGGTACAATTGTTGGTTTAAAGTTTTCCTCTCAATTGTTTATATGTTGTTTATCTTATGTATAACTACATTCGATTTGGAGTTTGCGATCATTTAGAACTGTGTATTATATTTTTTCAGAATTGTTTATATGTCGTTTATCTTATGTATGGCTATACGGTTAATATTAGAGAATTGTTGGATCATTTTTATCTAATGTATATATACAGTATATCTAAACATATATTAATATTTCGATGAATTTCTCTTTTCGCAAATCATGTTTATATGTTGTTTATATGACGATGAATTTCTCTTTTCGCATTTTTTTTCCTCAGCCGGATCGATGAATTTTTTATGAAGTTTTTCTATGAATTTTTGTTTATATGTTGTTTATATGACGATGAATTTCTCTTTTCGATTATGACGATGAATTTCTCTTTTGGATGAATTTTTTCGCACATCATGTTTATATGTTGTTTGAATTTTTTAATTTGTTCAACCCATAATCATAGGTATCATATTTGGTATGTTTTTTTTTTTTAAATTTCACTGTGATCCGTCCATTCCGGACAAGTTAATTATTTATTTGGAGAGAGAATCGGATTTTATGGAGAGAAGATCTCTTTATATGGAGAGAGAATAAGATTGGATATAGAAAGAGAACTCGTAATTATGAAAATAAACTACCCACCAATTCTTTAAATAATAAAAAATTACAAAGATCGTACATATGCAAAATAATCTTATATGATGTATACACGTGTAAATTTCCGACAATACAACTCCAAAATCCTGCAATCCATACGTGCATTTAAGTAACTATAAATACATTATACTCAAATTGTTATTTTTAAAAAAATGAAATCTTCGATCGAATACAGAAATTCGATGGAGTTATCGGATGGCTCCTTTATGGAGCCATTCATAACTTTATGTATTAACACATGTTTAATGTCTATTTTGAAGGACATGTGTCAATACATCATTTATAAATGACTATGGATGACTCCATAAGCCGAGTCATCTAATTGCTCAATAACAAAACCGAGAATACATATTAGATGCGTGTATAGTTAATTAATTGTTATTTCTTAAAAAGGAAATCTTCGATCAAATACACATTAGTTGTGTGTAATGTGTTTGGACTTTGGATATTAAATATCTATGTGTAAGAAACTGGGGGAAAAACGAGTGTGGTCCCACTAAAATGAAGCGCACCAAAGCGGGGAAAGCATATGAAGTCCAAGTGGAGTTCCATCTGAAAACTAATTGATGGAAGGAGGAGTAGCCCATTAGACTTATAAGATGGGTCTATTTTCCATGTATGAACGATGTGGGATAACTCACAAGTGATATTCTAACACAATGTAAAACAATATACATATAAATTCACTGTTTCCTATACAAAATGATCAATTTAATACCAATCATGCACACCATAGAGTGCTAATTAAAATTTTATGATAAAGAAGTTGAAAAGAAAAAAGAAAAGTTTTGTTTTAAGGTAAAAATAAAAATAAAAAATCAAAGTGTATTATAAGTTTTATTTATAGAAATTCATACATCACTATAGTTGTAAACGAGTCAAACTAAGTTCGAACTGAGGGGATTAAATGGGGTACTTTGGAGTTAATAACAAGGGATCAAGGGTGGTCAAATATAGCTTGCTTGGTGGACAACAAAGATTTGTTGCAGAAATTGCTCTCAGGCACTGGATTTTTTCCTGATATATATGCATTGGTTGTTTGAGGATATTTCCACTTTGGTTAAGTGTAATATTTCTTGTTCTTTCATTTTAGTAGTAAGTCTCTTGCTTGTGAAGCTATTAGGGAGTCTGGATTGATTTTCCTGTTTGGGGACTACTTCGGCTTGTGAATTAGTAGCATTCCTTGACCATTTGGTTGGACAGTTTGTACAATTTGATGAGTTAATTTTAGCTGTTTTACCGTTCCGAAAAAAAAAAAAAAAAGTTCAAACTCTTGATATTCGAGTTAGAGTTCCAACCTTTATCAAGCCAAGATGAACCGATAAACGAAATCGACTTGTTTATTAAGTACTTAAACCTTAAGGCTTGATTGGTGAAGAATAAAAACTAATAAAAATCGATTTTGACCGGTTGAATCTCTATAACTCAAAAGTTAACTCAACATCAATATCGTCAAAATTATCAATATAATTAAATAACAAATCAATCATCGCACACATCACGTCACTTTTAATTCATTATTCATTCATTTATATATTTTTAACTATATATCTCTTTCAATAACATTTATAATTCTTTAAATCACATTAACTTTAACTGTTATATTTTAAATAGTATTTAATTACAAACTCAAGTATCATTTAATCAACTTTGTTCAAAATAATTTACTTTATCTGAGAATTCAATGAAAATCGGTTTTGATATGTTACCAAGCGTGCGCTAAGAGGTTGAACTCCAAGCTTGCTAATTCCAACCTTTATTAAGTTGAAAAATGAATTGATAAACAAACTCTTGGCATATTTATGAATATTCACGGGTCGAACTCCAATCTTAAAAGGTTGAACTTCAATCTTAACAAGCTCGAGCGAAGGGAGTGATTGAATATATGTTTGATTGAGTTTTGATTGATTTTTTCGGTTAATCATAGTTAGATTTGGAAAGTCATTGAGTTAGATTTGAGTGAGATTTTAAGTTTGTAATAAAACAATATTTAAGATAAATTGATTAAAGTTGATTTATTAAAAGTAAGAGAAAAGTGATTGACGTAGTGATTATTTAAATATATGTAAGTTGATTAACAATTAATAAAATTGATGTGATGCGTAAGCACAATTGATTTATATTATTTAATTATATTAATAATATTAAAGATAACGATGTTGAGTTAAAGTTTAATTAAAAAAATAAAAAATAAACAGAGTGATTGAATTTAAAGGGTGTGATTGGATATATATTCATCTAGCAGAAAACTATCAGGAATAATCGAGGGCACTGACTGACTGCATCAATCATCGCTCAGTGAGCTATTAATTGCCGTCAATCAAAACTCAAACTTAACTCAACTCCATTATCTTTAATTTTATTCATATAATTAAATAACACTAATCAATCATTCTTACACATCAAATTAATTTTAATTATTATATTTTAATAGTTATTTTAATATAAATTTTAATTTTCACTACCAACTAACTATACTACTTCTTTTTAAACTAATTATAATTAATAAAAAATTAAGAAAAAACTAGTCAAACTGATATCCTTCCCTTCTTTCAACAATCCTAATCCTATCACCACAAACAACAACTCTATTTAAGTGTTAACAAACTGGGTCCACACAACTCTCATGCGGGACCCAGTTACCCACTGCATTTGCATCTGAATTTCAATTTCCATTTACATTCCACTTGAATTTGCATTTGTCCTTCAAATTGCTTTACCAGTTGGCCATGGAAGTGGTGTGAGTGTGACACAGCGCAAGGCCCATCCCCTTATTTTGACCTTTGACCCGCGTAAACTTTCTCGCACAGGAAAAAAAAGGGCAAGAAGCAAGAAGAAAAGTCACACTTTCCCCTCACCTTCCTCCTCAGATCAGAGCCCCCATCTCCAGCACAAAATTCATATAAATGTGTATATATAAATACTGATATATCCAGGCACTCGAGTTTCCTTACAACTTCAGTTTACAACTCCAAATAATTCTTTCAATTCCAAGTCTAAAGTCTTGTCAAGTCCAACAAGGGACTTACTTATCCTTTTCACATCACAAGGTTTTTTTCTTTTCCATTCACATCTTTTCTTGTTTTATCATCATCTACTTGTTGAAGTGTGTTGAATTCGGTTGTTTCGTCGCTGTATTGCCTCAAAGATTGAATTTTTTTACTTGTACTTTGCTGGTTTTCGAGGGGTTTAATTGTGTTGAATTTGGTTCTTTCATGGCGGTTTGTGTCACAAAGATTGAATCTTGATTATGTGGGCTTATATTTTTTTTCCCCCTTTTTGTCGTATAATTTGTTGGTTATGGGCTGATTATTTGGTAATTATTACTAGGGTTTTCCTCTCTTTGATTTATTTTTTGCCTATTAAATCTGAGTTCCCTGAACAAACAACTCCAATTCTCGATATTTATCTTCAGGCTCATTTGATGTGCACTGGACCAAGAAGTAATCGCTACCCTTCTCAGCCGAAGATGGAGAGGACCTTGTCACAGGAGGTGAAAACCGTATTTCCCCACAAAACCTGCTCGAGCCTGCTTGAACTCGCCGCCGCCGACGACTTAACCGGTTTTATCCACGAGATAGAAGTAAACGGCTCCGACATCAACGAGCCGAGCTTCTGGTACTGCAGAGCCTCCGGCTCGAAGAAGATGGGCCTCTACCTGAGAACCCCTCTCATGATATCCTCCTCCTACAACAGCACACGTGTCCTCAAGTACATAATCGACTCCGGCAAGGTCGATATCAGCCGATCCTGTGGCTCCGATGGCGCCACTCCTCTCCACTGCGCCTCCTCCGCCGGATCTTGGCCGTCCGTCGAGCTCCTGATCT